TTACCATAGTTTAAAATCCTGTCTTTATCCAATGTTTAATGACATCAATGATATTGTAACTGTGGGTCATATCCAAGTGGGTTGCAGAGAGATAGGCATTGACATTCTTTTCTCGTCAGACATGAAAATGATTTCAACAATGTTAGGCCTAGGTGGCGCTACTGGCAATTATGCTTGTCCCTGGTGCAAAGTGCATAAGAATGATAGACACGACGTGACTAAGGCCTGGGATTACTATGACACAGGGGAACTCAGGCGTACAGTAGAGGACATTACACAATGTGCAGACAAATGTTCCCATGGTGCTCTCCATGCCCCGCTTATAAAACTTGAGGTTCAGAACTACATTGGAGATGAGTTGCATCTGCTACTTAGGATAACAGATGTGCTAGAAAGGAATTTGATAGTGGAGGCATGCGACATGGATAAGTGTCTAGTTGAAAAGAAAGAGAAGGCAAGACATGTTGACGAGATAGTACAGTGTATCAGGTCCTGTGGTGTTTCATTTTCTGTTTGGGAAGAGAGAGAGAGCAAAAAACTCAATTGGACAAGTCTCTCGGGTCAGGAAAAGAAAAAGCTTTTGAATTATCTACCTGCAAAGCTTAGAGGTAAATTAAATCCTGACACTGAGAGCATCATCATCAAACTTTGGCAAAACCTTTCAGAAATCTATTCCAAAATTTGTACTCCAGGTACCCCAGCAATTGAGGTTTTTGAACTGTCGAAAAGCTGGGTTCAGTTATTCGTTTCAATCGGGTGTAAAATGAATTTGTACCAAAAGATGCGAATAACGCCATATATTCACTGTTTGGTTTACCATGTTCCTGGTTTTGTTGACCGCTATGGCTCAATTCGTGACTTCAGTTGTCAGGCCCTTGAAAAAACTAATGATGAAATTAAAAAAATACATCAGCAAAAATCAAATAAATGGGATGCAACCGTTGAGGCACTGAAAGTCAGGAAACGAATGGAGAACCATAGTGATCTAAATCGAGTCAAGCGCCAATACACCAAAAGGAAGCTTGTGTATTGGGAAGATACGATAAATGAAGTGAGACAGGGTAAAAGGTCAAACATCACTAAAGAAATTACATCTCAACCAACTCAAGATGTCAATTTGAGCGAACTTTCAGTTTCGGGGCTCCGTGACTTTTTGCAAACTCATGATGTGTCAACGAAGTCCACTTCAAGGGCAAAACTTATGGAGATGGCCAGCAAACTGAACTGATGTTTGCAGACCTGTTTATGTGTTTCGGACATGTGACATCCTTTTGTTAAAGATTAGCATAATGCATTATATTATTCATGTCTTCACGTAAATAAATAGTTTTCCTCAATTCAAAACTTTGTTTATTTAGTTTGTTAGCTGATGTTTCGACTCGGTGCTTGTATAATTATTTCATGCATAACTATATCGCCTCTTGTGGCACTTTTTAACAACAGGTAATAGCGCAAAGTACACTTCAAATGAATACATTCCGATTACATCAATATAAAACGGGGATAATAAAGTATGACATACCAAATTATACATTCATGAACTTAATCCAAAACAATGTTCTTTTAGTTTTTAAAACAAACAGAAATGTAAAATATTTACACGAAATGTATCTACACGTGGGTTCGAACGTAGAACGTACAGCACGAGAGTCGTGCTATATATAAACACTAATTAACCCTTGCTAATTAACCTCAATTAGTTCTGCAGGAGTTATCGCTGATGACATCAAGATACTATTTTACAACGCTTTATTGGGTTTATATCGTTGTGGAAGAGTTAGGTCCCATGTATTCTTGGGTATGTGTGGGAGCATGCTGCCGACACCATTTAAACGTCCATTGTGGCCACCCGATCCATATTGAGTCTGTCCTGGTGACAAGCATGGATAACTGGGTGCATATGCTGTCGACGCCATTTAAACATCAATTATGACCACCCGATCCATATTGAGTCGTCTGTCCTGGTGACAGCACGGGTCCCTTTTGGCTAATAGTGTCGACGCCATTTACCCATTACATTCATTGTTACCATTCAATCCCTAGTCTACAGCTGCTTGATGAATCATGTAAATTACAAACCTTGCACCAGATCGTGTAGCTAAGCAACACAGACTAGATGATCCTTGCACTTTACATACCATGCACCGGATCGTGTAGCTAGGAAACACAGACTAGTTCTCCATGTACTTTACATAACATGCACCAGATCGTGTAGCTAGGCAACACAGACAAGATGATCCTTGCACTTTACATAAGATGCACCGGATCGAGTAGCTAGGCAACAAAGACAAGATGATCCTTGCACTTTACATAACATGCACCGGATCGTGTAGCTAGGCAACACAGGCTAGATGATCCATGCGCATTACATAACATGAACCAGATCGTGTAGCTATGCAACACAGACTAGATGATCAATGTACTTTACATAACATGCACAAGATCGTGTAGCTAGGCAAAAGAGACTAGATGATCAATGCACTTTACATAACATGCACCGGATCGAGTAGCTGGGCAAAACAGACTAGATGATCAATGCACTTTACATAACATGCACCGGATCGAGTAGCTAGGCAAAACAGACTAGATGATGTATGCACTTTTCATAACATGGACCAGATCGTGTAGCTAGGCAAAACAGACTGGATGATCAATGTACTTTACATTTACCGTTATACGTACCGGATCTTCTAGCTAGGCAACAAATTCTACTATCCATGTTCTTTAAATATGTTACCAGATCGCGTAGCTAGGCAACGATGGCTAGATAATAGACGGACTTTGCACAAGATGCAGCAGATCGTGTAGCTGGGCAACACATTAATGCATCAGATGAACATATTTTGGTCGCAATCTGCGCTTTATTGAATTGAGCTAATATCTGAGAAACAAAACAATAAAGACATAAGAACAAACTCATATAAATTCTGTAAAAGTGATGACCAACTTCTGTATTACAATTGTAGCAATGTCTCGCAGTAGACTTTGACACCGATATGAAGAAAGTGACATGGTAATGATACAGAGAGCACATACATGCTTGAAACAGTAAACTACGGTTATAACGAACACGCTTATAACGAACTGGCGGATATAACGAACTTGTTTTTTAAGGTCCCTGCCATTTGCTGTATATATGCTGTATATATGCTTATAACGATGCTGTATATATGCTTATACTAGGTTTTACAACTATATGATGGGGGTCTGTTAATAATCGGGTCTGGACCAGACAATCCAGTGATTGATATCATGAGCATCATTCCGTAATTGGGATACAATGACATGACCTTCCGAAACCGTTAGCATGTGTTGCTAAAGACCTATTCTACCCTGGATCTTCACGGGTCCACCGAATACAAAACCACATCTTAGATACAGCATAGTTCAGCTGCAATGTCGTGATCAATATCAAGGGCAAGTATGATTAACAACACACACAACAAAGCACACGTGCATTTATGGTTTCACGTGCCCTACAAACGGTGAGTAACCAAAACGACCTTCACCCTTCATTACGTCACTACAGAGTTGCCCTCCAGCTTCAGGCATCAATCCAACCACGCACAATATAGTACAACGTTGACGTCAGTATGTAAGACAAAGGCAAATAGACCTACGGGTTATATCTACAAATCGTAAGAACATTTATTTCGAAGCAAATATCAGCAATCACCTCCTTGTCCTCTCAGGTGCAAACAACCATGTTGTATCGGTGGGAATTGGTTTATTGTTGATTTACTCCCTGTACTACACAGATGTAACGTAGTCGACATCACCAGTGAGTTCAAGCCAGATGTCCCTGACAGTCAGATTGAATTTAATGGGGTTAAATCTGTTAATATGATCATATGGAAGATGATCTGGTTTGCTTGATATCAAATTATCATATATCATCGCCATAGCAGTCGGCGAAACACACCTGATAAACCAGTACTGCCTATGGCGGCGGGAGACTGTACAACAAGCCAGGTATCTGCCCTCTTTGTTTTGTTGTGTCTGTAGTAGACATTAAGGAGTCTGTAAATGTGAAATGTACTCCATCTTCTGTTACTGCATCCTTTCTTTCCTCTCCACAGACAGTGCCAGGTCCCTTCATGTCCACACACAGAGTGTAGGTCGCACCTGCTGTGAGGGAAATAAACCTGGAAAACAGGACGTCATTCAGCCGTCCCCCGGTTTGAAGCTCATTCAGATCGCCCCAGCCTTGAAGCTTCATCTTTGTGTTCACGAAAGGTTCATCAATCGCCACGTTATTGGCGCCATACACTCTTATTGTCAGTGTATACACTGCATCGTTCCAGTTTCCACCATACAGCTGACACCCCAGTAGGAGAATGCTCCGACTAGGTGAGAAGGAGATAGCACTTATCCCACTTCTCATACTACGATAATGGTGAGCCGTAAGCCTAGCCACTTTTTTACAGGATGCCTTCAGTTTCAGACCAATAGTATTTCTCTGTGAATGTTTAAATGGAGAAATGTCAACAGTTGTGTCTACGTTTCTGTCCATTATTCGTACTCTCTCATCATTTATCAACACTCCAGATCGGCCTACAACCTTCACCAGATACTCCAGGGGGATGCTGGTAAACCGGATCTCATACCTCATATCTCCCAGGAGTCTCCGTATGTTCTCAGGTGTGTCACTCACACCTTCCTTCCGGCATCTTTCCTTTGTCCAGGACAGCACTGCGTCAAATACGTCTTCCTCTTTCAAATATAAAACATCTGACCCGACAAACTTATTCATACAATCAGAGCAAAGTTTCACAAAGCCGGGAGATTGGATGACTTCCTTCCCTCCTTGAGTAAGAATCTGCAGGGCCTTCTGTTCCACGTCCAGCCCCCCGTAACCATGACACTCCTCCAGGATCAGACAGACATTGTCTTCTGACATGGACTTTTCAAGGAACGTTACACACAGATTGAACAATGCATCAAGAAAATATTTCCTGGAGGTGTACATTAATCCTGCGGCTGTGTCAGCGTTGATAGTCGTCTGGTCTGTGTACACATACCTACAGTATGCCAGAAAAAGGAAAGGAAAAATATAAAGAATCCGTTTTATTTCATGATTTTGTCAGCGTAATTCAAATCATAGCAGCATACTAACATTGTGTTATATCTTTTACTTGTCGACTTGTTGTGGACAACCATTATGGTATATAGTATTTAAAGGGAGTACTACATTATATTCCTTCTTTTCACTAGCTAGACCAGGCAAGCATCTATAATACATAAAAACCTCACTACCCTGTAGCACACACTTTATGTAGGGTATTTTGACTTAATGCTGTTAGTGAATGTACGAAATCAACCTTGACAAACATAATACCTGTCTTCACAGCATTTTCGAAACATTGATATAAAAGCAGATAAAGAATATGTAAGGTGTTATCTTAATTGGTGTATTAATAAATCTACCGCTAGATTATTCTCACCTTAAGAACTCTTTGAAGATGTCTACCTCAATGTCGGGAATGGTTACCTCCCCAGTCTCCGCCAGGGGGCCACAGAACATGGCATGGAAGACACAGCTGCGACTGACAAGAACGTAGCGGTGAGCTCGGACCACCTGTTTCTCTAACCCCACACGGAAGGTGACGTCACAGAAGTCTTCCGTGTCGAGCATGCGCAGATTACACTCTGTGACCGTCTTCCCAGCCTGCCAGTTGTCGACTAATCCAGATTTGGGGCTCGCACCTGACATCTTGTAGCTTTGAACAGACAAGACATAAATACATACATATTATAGGAGAGGTGAGGTGAAATTGGGTTTAACGTCGCGTCAAAGAGTATTGCACTTATATAGCGACGTGCATGTACGTGTGTGTGTTTGTGTGGCTGCTTGTACTACTCCGGACTGATGCCGATTGATAGTGCTAGCTCATTGAGATACCATGCCGCAGTTTAACATGAATACCCCACTCAGACACAGTATACTGACTCTGAGCCGACCAGTCCTTGTTTTAGCCCCTTAATGCCGAGCGCCAGACAGGGTAACAACAAGTACCATCGTTTAACGTTTTTTGGTATGACGCGGCCGGGGATCATGTAGCTTTGAACAGACAAGACATAAACACATACATATTATAGAATATATAGATGATATAGAATATATAGACAGCGACCCTCATTAAATCCGTGTAAAGGTTCTATTAATGAGTATTGAAATTCACTTAACAATTCATTGTTTTCAATAACGTTTCAGTGAGTGAGTATGGTGTTACGCTGCTTTTAACATTATTTCAGCAATATCACAGCGGGGGACACAGGAAATAAGCTTCACACATTGTACCCATCTGAGTAATCGAACCTGATCGTCGGTGTGAATAACGAACGCTTTAACCACTAGGCTACACCACCGCCCCAAATAACATAGGCATTGTGGGCAATTTTTGTTTGTTTACAAACAGCTCACAATGTTTTCGTAGCATTAGCCTGAGAGAGATGTCTGTTTACACATATTGAGAAATGACCTGTAATAGGTATCTCACAATGAAATGTCATTCGGTTGAACAGTATGAAATTAATTTCTCTTGAAGGTAAAGCCCGATATAAAAGGATGTTATTCAAAGTTGATGGCACTATCAGAAGGGGGATATATAGGAATTGCACAGCCCAGATAACATGTTTATCAAATCTCTAAAATCCACATGCCCAGCTTTCAATAAATGGTTAAAACCCATATAACTCAACCCTGTCTCCAAAGACTAAAGATACAATTTTACTGTTAGACCAGTGGGGATTCCGGGTTAGAATATAGATTGCCATCAGCTCGTCGTGAGAGGCAACTAACTTTAGCTGCAATATAGCTGAGTAATCAAACGGAAACAAAACAAACAAAAATATATTAAAACTTCATGAACTCGGTCGAAAGGCAAATTGAACTTTTGATGTCAGATGTCATGTTTTTATAACCATCGACAAACATCCATACAAATATGAAGGTCAATGTTAGAAATGAGGTGAACTGACCCCTTGATATTGAGCGAAATCTGCAAGTATCCGGTAGCTCATAAAGTCATGCTTCCCAATCACATCGGGGACAACCACATGACAACAAACCTTACAGCCAACCCTTACCCGTGAAGATCGGGGGTAGAATACATCTTCAGCAGCCCATGCTTGTCGTAAAAGGTGACTATGCTTGTCATAACAGGCGACTAATGGGATCGAGTGGTCAGGTTCGCTGACTTGGTTGCTGCATGTCATCGTATCACAATTGAGTGAATCGATGCTCATGATATTAATCACTGGATTGTCTGGTCAAGACTCGATCATTTACAGACCGCCTTAACATAGTTGGAATAATGCTGAGTGCGGCGTTAAACAACAAGCAAACAGACAACCCTAGTCTGTTTGGATATGTTTTGTGACTGGCGGTTGTGGCATTTTGAATGATCTACCAACTGGTAACTACAGTCAAACCTCTTATGTCCAATTCCGGGGACCAGATAAATAGTTTGTATTATCCGGGATTCGACACATCCGACTGGGCCACACAACCTCAAGCAGACACGTACCATACCGTGCATGTTACATGAAGGTACATATCAAGTCTGTACTGAGAAACATACACATAATCGTTTTTCACATCCACATTTATGAATTCATATGGAAATTTAACCTTGTCTCAGGTTGCCCTTGTAAACATTTGTCAGTTCGACTTATCAGGCCCACAAATTATTTCGAGACAACACAACTATACGACATATCCAGATGAAAGTTTGCAACGACCGGACTGTACATTCGACATGTACACCACCCTGGATTCGACACATCGGAGTTCGAGAGCTTGACTCAATAACATCAATATTATGTCGGAGTTTCTATAAATAACACTGAACGGAATGCAGCTGCACAACTTGACCAAGATAATCAAAGGGACACAACTCTGTAAAGACTAATACAGACTGATGTTATCGCCGAGGAGTTTGTACACATCGTTAATTACGGCTATAAACATGATTTTAGTCTCAAATAGTGACTTTAATGGCGTGATAGCCGACAGATGTGATACGAACCACAGGATGTGTAAGATAGTCTGCACTATCGACAGTTATATGCTCCTTGTATACAACAGGAATAACTGTGTCAACCCCTTGATATATCAGATACATACACTTAGTCAGGTCGATAGCACCACTCTCTGTACACCAGACAAATCACCGTTCAGTGCTGCTGTGTAAACAGTGTACACCTTACCAGGCGACTAACGGGATCGGGTGGTCAACCTCGCTGACTTGGTTGATGCATGTTATTGTATCCCAATTGCGTGGATCGATAGTCATGATGACAATAGGTGGATTGTCTTGTCCAGACTCGAAAATTTACAGACCGCCGTTATATAGCTGGAATATTACTGAGTGCGGCATTGAACAAGAAACAAACAAACCCCTTACCTGGGCTGGTACAGATTGTTTGAACACGGCGAGCGAGAGAAACCTCTTCACCTGTTGGATACCTGTAATCTTAGTTTCGTTTTGACACTTCCGCATGTCATATATTTATATATATTTTATGAGTGTTTCACTTGCTATCATGCGAAAGACAACTCTGTCAATCATGTACACGCCTCACATAGAAACAAGACAATTACTGAAAAGTGATAGATTGTTATTGTTTAAAGATGGTGTAGCCAGGTGTGGTAGTCCAGCCACTGGGCTGCTAGTCTGGAAGTGGTGGACAAAGAATAGATAGTGGAAGTCCATGTGTAGCTGGAAAAATAACAGAGGCTGCAAAGGGTATCAACGTCTTTGAAATAATGAGTGAGTTAGTATGGTTTTACGCCGCTTTTAGCAATATTCCAGCAATAATTCTGTTGCAGTTGGAATAGACATTTTTGGAGATTTTGCATCGAGAATAGACATCTTTTCAGGATCAGCTGCAAACCCAGAAATTTTTATATATTTAAAACAGTTAGCTTGAATTCTGAAACATTTTCTTTCTCTCAATCAAACGAAATTCGGCGCTCGGCATTAAAAGGATAAAGCTAGGTACAGATTGGCTCGGGCTCTAACAAAAACGGCTTTTGTCCGGAATTGTACAAGCACGCACATACGCACGCACGCACTGTTTAGCTGATGCTTCAGAGGATGATAACGTATTGCCAGTGCAAGCTGCACCAGAAGTGTACTCATCATGCCCTCTACACGACTAGTAGGTCATCTTGCGGATCAGCGATGGCTACGAGATCCGTGCAGTTTGCTGTTTTAACTGCTGCTCCTGTGCAGCATATTCATGTTATCACAGGTCAGGTTTTTCGTGGAAAATGGCAAAGGTCAGGAACATGTTTTGCGTTTGGCAAATTCTCACATTTTAGATGGACATGTCCATGTGTCAACTGTACAGCCCCTCTGGGAATCTCAGTGAGTGGAATTGGGGCCTCAAGTCAAGCCGGCCAATAGGCCATGTCAAGATCTGTCAGTTGAGTATAGTAACGTTATTGATGGTACAATCAATGTCACTATGCTTACTGATGACTACTATGAGAACTAGCACTGAAGATCGGAAATAATTGTAAAAAGCCGTCTCAAAAGTTACTTACAATTTAGGCTGCAGATAGGTGCACCTGACTTCAAACAGCGTGTTGGATTTGATAGCTAATCGCTGGAAAATGTCTTTATCATTCTAGATCAAACAAATATGTTTACAAAAGCAGTGTGAAATACGAAGATCGGAAAACTTGGGATAGTTACTTTCTTGGAAGACCGTATTTTGGCTGGAGCTTCAATAGATGAGACATGTTCATCAGGTTCGGTTATTTTCTGGTATTGTTCCAATGGTAGAAAAGTCACTATTGACTTCGTCACAGGTATTGAAGTGGCTAGTGGACACAACCCCCATGACAGTTATTGTACCTACAAGAAAGGTGGATAAGGTTGAAGAAGCCACCCTTCACCTGTTTGATTCCAAATGTAGGCACATACCTGTTTGGTACTAAGTATGTGGTTTCTGTTGTTGGTCAGTACATTTCCATGAAATTAGTGCTGGGGCCTAAAATACAACTATTAAT